GTGTGTGGTCTTGTCTGTGTATGCTAACTCCATCGCCCTTTCACGCTCACTGCCGATAAAGTGTGTGTGTGTAGGGGGGGGGGGGCAACGACAAAAAAGAACAAGGTGAGGATGTCGAAGGACCAGGCAGTGTTTTATTCTGTTGTACACTGGGTGGCTACGGGTCGGTCAGAACCCACTCTCGAGGGCACTCACCAACAAACACAACTGTTTTCAAATGTCCTTTCTCAGCTGCAGAACCATTTTCAAACATACAGGCTGAGCACCCCCCTGCCTCCAAGTGGGGGTGGGGGAGCCAGGCCTTGCCCACAGGAGACCCTAAACCCACAAGAGACTGGGATTAGAGCGGTCTCTACTCCGGGAACAGTTGGGGGCCTTGTGACCTTCAGGAAGGTTCTCAGAGCACGCATGAGAACTGGAAGTTGAATGATGCTCTCTTTCCCCTCCCCAAAACGTATGTGCCATAAATTCTAATCCCGTAAGGAAGCCTTCATGGCACAGTGATGACCCCATGGTCACGGCTCACCGTGAAGGTAAGCAGTTGGAGACCACCAGCTGTTCCTCAGGAGAAAGAGGGTTGTTTTTTCCTTCTATAGAGTGACCATCTCTGAAACCCACAGACGTCGTTCTATTGCAGCGGTCCTCAACCTGTGGGTCGAGACCCCTTTGGGGGCCAAGTGACCATTTCACAGGGGTCACCGATTCATTATAGCAAAATGACAGTTTTGAAGTAGCAACGAAGATAAATTTATGGTTGGGGGGTCACCACCAGATGAGGAACTGTATTAAAGGGTGGAGGGAGGCGTTAGGAAGGTGGAGAACCCCTGCTCTATAGGGTCACTATGAGTGGGCATGGATCAACTCCATGGCAGTGAGGTTTTTTGGGTTTTGTTTTTGTTTTCTCAAATAAGGAGGCCTAGTGGCACAGTGGTTCACATGCTTAGCAGTGACCTGAACGGCCAGCAGCCTCTCAGTAAGAGCGGGGTGAAGCGACACCTGCTACAGCATAGATACATCCTTGGAAACCCAGGGGGCAGCCCCTATCCTGAAGGAGCTCCATTGGCTCAGTGGGCCACTTGCCAGTTGGCTAGTTAATGGCCAGGCCAGTGGCTATCGGTGTCCCCAAAGATGTAAAAGTCTCAGAACCCGAAGGGGCAATTCTACTCTGCTCTAGAGGCTCACTGTGAGTTGGAATCCACTTGATTGGGAATAACGCTTTGTTGAGCGGATGACACCATATCCAGGTTAAACCAAACCACTCACTTCCTTGAGGTCCATTCTGACTCCGTAGAACGGCACCTGTGGGTTTCTGAGACTGTCGCTCTTTACAGGAGGAGCTGGTGGCTTTGAGCTGCTGACCTTGCTGGGGGTGCCTTAAGCCCATCATTGCTGAGACTCAGAAAGAGCAGACAGGCACTGCAGGGTAGGCGGGGGCAGACAGAAGCTGCTGATCTCTGTAAAGACTGCCAAGGAAGCAAAGCCAACAGAGTTTACAGGAGGTCAGGCTCCGAGGGAGAGAGACAGGCTTTCTACTCCTGTCAAGAGGTACAGTGTCAGAAACCCACAAGGGCAGTTCTACCCTGTCCTGTAGGGCTGCTGTGGTTCCGAATGGACGTTAAGGGAGGGAGTTTGTAATTGAGGAGCATCTTCCCCAGGAGCTCCAAGAGAGTGTGCCCTTCATCCCTGGAGCCCCGGGTCCTGGGCTCAGACTTCAGACACTGTCTTGAGAGAACTTGAGTCTCTTCCTACGGCACCCACTTGTGGTATTCTGTGACCCCAGCACAAAGAAACATGGCACAGTTACCTGCTTCCAAAGTCAGGTTCACGTCTTAAACATCTGTGGGTGAAAACTCAGTACAAATGAAAGCAAGGGAGGGGGACCAGACAGCTGGAGTCGATGCCACCCGAATCCCCTCCCCTTACCTTCAGACCAGAAACCCTGGAGGCCCTTCTATTAGATCTGGGTCCCTCATGGCCTGGGGCAGGGGGGCTTGTCCCCAGATATAGTGCACAGGCAATCACAGCCCCTCCTGCAAGTTTAAGGTCAGGTCCTCTGATAGGCAGGGGCAGGCAATTGCTGGCCTACCCAGCTTCCTGCACCTCTAAGCTCCAGACCACGGGACAGCTAAACCGCAGTGGGGACCAAGCCACTCTGACCATCACCCAGGTCCCCAACGGAACATGCTGTGTCCCATTACCAGCTTTACTGCAAAGGCGACTACCCTTGTCTGACTCTGGAGTCCCAGGACCATGCAGGGGGGGCAGGCAGGCGAGGCAGCCCTTCTGACACACCAGGTGCAAACTAGGAAGACTTAGCTTCCCCCAGAGCTTGGACCATTTTCGCTCCACATCCTGGGTGGGCTGTGTGAGAGTGCCAGTCCTTCTTAAACCAAGTTCTTTTTCCCTTTACTAAAGGTGTGTGTGTGTGTGTGTGTGTGTGTGTGACAGAGAGAGAGAGAGAGAGACAGAGACAGAGAGTCTGAGGAGGTAAAATTAGACCAAGTCCCCTCCCAGCCCCACCTGGCCCGCTCGCCTGAGTGCGCATCCCTGGGGGCTTTCCCCAGACCCTACCTCCACCAGACAACTGTCCCCGGCCCTCCTTTGTCGCTAGCCAAGTCGGAGGAGGTCACGCAGCAACCTCAGCAAGAGAGGAGCTCAGCGCAGCGGCACTTTCAGTAAGGACCTAGGGCAGCGCTGGAAGCCCAGGGGACACGCAGGGAGCACTGGGCACAAGGTTTTGCCCCCTAAACCGGAGAGGAATGTCACTTGCGGAAGGGGAGGGGAGGACCTGGGCAAAATCGAGATGCTTGAAGAGCCTTCCACCAGGCGCGGGGTCCCCGGGACAGACTGAGGACAGAACTCCAGAAAGGGACAGAGAAGGGAGGGGGTGCAATACAACAGGCTTGGCCATGTCACCGGCTCCCCAGCCAGGGGTGCGCAGACCCCCCAGAGCTGCACTCTCCGCTGTGAGCCGGAGTGCGAGGGAAAGGCGCTCGGCGCAGCAGCGCAGTGAGCACGAACCCTAGCAGCGCCCTAGCCCGGAGGCGCCCTGCGCAGAGTGGGTGGTCCCCGATCCTGGGGCGCCCACTTACCCGGCCGTTGCGGTCGGTCTCCTGTACCTCCTCGACGCGCGGTCC